TTGTTCGCCGCCCTGAGTCCTCCCGGAGAAGGGCGGCATACAAATAATAAAATACAAATACAAATAGAAAAACAAATATTTGAAGTTTTCTGGGCTTCTGCATGTGCACATGAAGCATACGGCGCCCGTGTGATGCTCCGCTGAGCAGCTGGAGCGTTGTGGAGGTGTTGCGGAGTGTCATGGGTAGTAAGTACACACGGGCATGCTATGAGTACATTCATGTGATGGACACCCAACCCCGTTGCACCATACTGGTTGCAACGGGATCCGGAACCCACCCCTGGATTAGACACACCAATTCCTGGAATTTCATTCTTTGAAAATGTGTTATAATGCAAAACCAGATCTTACAAAACCTGTGTGGGAGGCAGACTTTACCTGGCTCTGTTGCTCCTCGGAGAATTCCGATCACATTGTAAATCCGTCTCACTTGCTTGAAGCTGTAGATGTGCATTCTCACTTTTCTAATGCAATTAGAGAGAAAGAAAAGAATCAGGCTAAAGATCCTTAAAAGTGAAACAGCTGATTTTGAAAAAAGAGCAGGGCTTCTATTCTGCACTACACTTCATTGTACCACTCATAGGCATACAATCGAATATGGTATCCTAATGCTGCTGGGTTTTTTTTTTCCTTTTTAAAAAAATCAATTTTATAAATTTTCTATTAATTACATTCCTTTGTGCTCAGTCAACATCGTGTTGTCTGGGTATTTAATTTGCTTAACAATACAAATTGCCATTCTTACTCTCCGCCCCATTTTTTTCCCAACCACTGATCAAATAAATTCCAAGATTTTACAATATTCTGTGTTTTCTTTCGGTTTGATTTTCAATGTAAGTCGGTCCATTTCTGCACAGTCTTAATATCTTCTCAATTATCTCTTCATTTTGAGGTTTTGCTTCATCTTTCCAATATTGTGCGAAGATAATCCTTGCTGCTGTTCAAAAATGTAATACTAAATATATGCTTTTCTTATCAAATTTTTCTGATATCCTTTCTCTCCATAAAAACAGGTTTGTGTGTGTGTGTGTTTGTGAGTGTGTGTGTGTGTGTGTGTGTCCCCAGCATAACTCTGGAATGTCTTGAGTAATTTCAACCAAATATGGTACACAGATGACTTACTCTCTGGAAACAAACACTGTGGAGGTAAGACACCCCTAAAACCCCTTTGGGGTGTGTATTCTGTTAAGATACAGCCTGTTGTGCCTTAAAATGGCTTCTAATGTACTGCCTTAAAATGGATTCTAC